TTGGCAGCTATCACAACGTATCCAGTCAAATGTAGTTATTTATTGTTGACGGTTAAAGTAAAATCTCTCATGTGTATTTGCTATGTATGGATGAATCGATTTTACATAAATGATGGCACTACATTATATGAATCCGTATCGCTCTGGGAGATCACTCTCATAGTTTTTGGGCGTACATCGTTTGTACGACGACGCTTCAAAATACATTTTATATGTGGCTTTGCTGTTCTCGATGTAACTGCTAAAAAAATATTATGTGCTTTGGTTGCTCAAAAACTCGATATTTAGTCGATTTCGTCCATTATACTAACGAAAACTGAACAAACATGGACACATCTACGAGAACTATGGCAAATCGAAACGAAACGGTAATATGTGACGTATGGAAGCGGAAAAACGATGAACAGTGAAACAATGTGCGGAAAAACGATCAGAGATTATAACTGATTCACATTTGGATGAACTGAACCTATTGCTTTTAACTTTTTAGCTTTGAACTTTACACAGTCGTTATTAGACACTTTCTATGGTACATATATCGAAAAGGGAACACACACACAAACACACACGTTCAGTCAGGTGTAAACAAGAAAAATGGGAGAACGAACACCAAAAAAAAAAATACGTGAGTGATTTAACGCTTTTATTTATCGATTCAACATAAAATCCTCTTCAATTAGTTTATTGTAAAGCATATCGAATCCTCTTTGATAACACTTTTGAAGCACATATGCACCCATCACTGGGTGTGTATGGGCCATACGTGATATCCAATGGGTATTACATTCAACGTTTGTATTCCCTTTCGATTTTCATGTGTGCATGTCCTGTAACCTGAACATGACATAGTCACAATCGTTGAAAAATAAAAACCATCTCGCATACGACGTTTTGGTATGTGTGTATGTGTGTTTAAGTGTAAAACCTTATCATCATTTTGGCATTTTGTTTCGTTTTTACATCAATTTGACCATTTAATAGTATGTCTATGGAATAAAAATATATTTTGGGTCTGTAGTACGCACTTTGGTAAAACTTTTTGTTCCGTTTCTTGTACGCAAATGGAGCAAACTAATGAAAATGAAATTTTTTGGCCAGCAAAATATACGTTCCCAATTTATGCATACTACCAATTGAATTCAATTTATTTATTGCCCTCATTCAGTTAGAATTTCATTTTAACAAACATTTAATTGGTTTAGATAAAAGAATACCTAAATAACATTGTATATTCAGTGCAAAAATCTACCGAACTCATTCGCATTCGATTGTTATAATTTTCATCGTTGAGAACAAGTGGCATATTTAATTTTATATAAATAAAGTGCTCTTCAGCTGATATGTTTTATCTATATTTCATTCCGCCCGTCAATAGTAGACAAAGTGATTTCAAATCAATAAACATGACTTGAGCTCATGCACTTTATTAACGGATTATGAATATGGGGTGTGTACTGTGTTTTTAAGTATTTAATCGAAATGATTGAAGTACGCAAGACGACCGTGAGAGACAGAAGAGATTTTGACTACAAAGGCAAAATGTACAAAGAGCAAAAATTCAAGTAATGAAAACGAGATCAAATACTCATCAAGGATCACATACAATGAAAATAAAGAAGAACGATGTGAAAACCCTTCACCCAAATCAACAGATGTACGAACAAATGATGACAGGAACGAAACACATATAAATTCATAATAACAACACACAAAGAACAGCAAATAGCACCGCAATGGAGTGAAGATGAGAGAAAAAACAACAAAAACCGTGCACAAAGCATTGTGATCCTGTTAACAAACACTAAAACTCATCGTTCAAAACCAAAGATAGTGTCACATACCTTTTCATTTAGCAGTCGCAATAATTCTTATGTCAAGCATTTGCACATCTTTTCATCATTCGTTGTGCTCAATGAATTCAAAACATACAAAGCCACACAAATCTTATCGCTACCGCCATCACCCGCTCGTCTCCACTGACACTGTCAACAACAACAACAACAACAACAACAAAAAATCCTATAAACAGCTACTCCCTGTCTCTTGTTCACATCCGATCGCTTGTGAAGTACAATGAATGGAAGTTCTTCTGGTTGAAATCATTGATATGTCAATGCGAATATATGGGAAAACTGTGAATTCAAAACCATTTTATAAAGTGATGCTAACGATAAAAACATCGTGGTTAAACCGAACCGGTGAACACATCTCATGCACATTTTGCTTGTGTTTGTGCGAATATGTGTGTGTTTGTGTGATTGTTTGTTGAAGGTGCTATATTGGTGTATCAATTGTGTGAGGCGTACAAACATAAAATTGGAAGAGAAAAGAAAATTGTGAATAAAGTTACCATAAACACATAAATATTTCACCTCATTTTAGCACTCGTTGCATTTATTTAAGAGATTTAGCAAAAACAATGTATGGAGTCACATAGAGTGAAAAAAATCACCAACTACAATGATAAAATGGTGACTTGATTAGGAGGTTTACATCCAAGTAAAAATCCTCTTTGCAATATCGTCACAACAAAAGCGATGTGTGGACTTGGGGGTAGACACTTTTGAGTTCAAATTTAATTTTGTGATTTCTTCGATTTCTGCAAATGCATATCTTCGACATTTTCAACCTCATTCATATTTCATTAAATTTAAAATATTTTTTATAAATGTCTGTAAAACAGTATTTGTAATTTGATAAGATTTTCATTTGAGTCAAAATATTCAATACATTAACAATTTGTCACGATTATGCTTTAAGCAGACAATATATTTGGATTTTGTCATCTGTATATTTCAGCTCATCTGGATAATGTTAAGCGATGATATGGAGTGAAAACAATAAAAGTGATTGTTGTATTGTATAGGTATAAAAATACTACCATAACTATAACAATCACTTCTATTGTTTTCATTTCGTATCATCACCTAACGTTATCCAGATGAGCTGAAATATCCAGATAACAAAATCCAAATATATTGTCTGGCTTTAAGACATCATAGACAGTTGTGTCCAATTTTGAAAATAATCACATTTGAAATCGATCAGAGAATTGCGAGAGTCGAGCGCTATCCATATAAATACATTGTGACGTCACACATCTTACACAGAAACGACATCTTTGTAAAACAGACTAACTACAATGTAAAAGTATAGCGAGAGGAGAAGGGAGTAAATAAAGAGGGGAAACAGATACGTTTGATTTACATTGTAGTTAGTCGGTTATTAATAGATGGCGTTTATATAGTGTGCCCTTATTGCGCTTGACTCTCGGAGAATTGTGAATTTTATGATTTTTGAGAAATCAAAATTCACATGTCCACCCCCTAGTGTGTGAAATTCTGAATATATATGTGTGTGTAAACAAACACAGCGCGTACAAAACATTGCAATATTGGTTCAACGCTCATTCAACTCTTACAAAGGTTTCGACGATTACACGATGAAAACAAGCGTGATTTAGAGTGTGCCTTCGGACAAAAAATAGACATAAAAAAAATGCCAATAAATGAAGTAGTTTGTGAGGGAAAAAAATGATCTCGAAAAAGATATCGGTATAAGTGTGATATTTTCATTGATGTTCAATATCGATAGAGTGAAAAAAGGGTGCATGATTTTGTTTTCAAATTTGACAGCATCACTGTGGTGAAATCACAGTGGCATCACCACAACATACAATGTGTGAGTCTGTGTACAAAATGAATTCGATTAACATTAATCCCATTATCATATAGCCGTATTACATCGGCCGCCGATGAAATGGACTAGTTTGCGTGTTTGTCCCATTCAATATTGTTATCAATAATAAGTGATATCGCGCCTCATTCAATCATAATAGACATTCAGAGTGTTTTATCTCGTTTCACTAGCATTATCCACCAAATTGCGTAAACCAAATCCATCCAAGCACACTACTTAACTCATGTTGTTGATGCTGCTGCTGGGATGTTGTTATTTTTATCCGAAAAATTGCGACAGACATAGATGATAGAGACATAGTCTCAAAATAATAGTGTCAGCAGTGTTTGTGCTGCGATGCACATTTTCGATCTTCATAATTTAGAATGATATGTCATTTTTCAACTTGAATTGATTGTATTTATTCTTCAGTTGAATATTTTGACAGAAAAGTGCATGCAAAATGCAACAAAATAGAAGTTTCATTTGAATTCGCATTTTCAATGGGTTATGACTTTTAACTGGATCGTATTTTCTCGACATTATCTTGATTAATAGTTTTAAAAGTGAAGAATTTGGTCCTCTCGAAGAATTTAAAAACAATATTTCAAATGATGTCCAAAAAACCACTTCCAATAACTGAAAATGAATAGTGCATTTTGTATTGTACATTTCCATTGAATTGAAGATGGGATATTTGCCGGCAGAAATAACGTTCATTTATGATTATTCTCCTGCAGGATTCACTTGCGTTCCAGTGAGTTCCAGTGCGTTCAGCCCCAATATAACAGCATCTTTTCGCTTAATCAGAATCAACGTATCAACAGCAGCGTTACCATTTCAATTGAATGAGAGAAAATGTAGGAGAAAAAATGTTCAAAGATTCACTTCACTCCATATTCATTTGTGCTTACGATATCAACATCTTCGTACCTTTCGAAATAGAAATGTGGAGGGTGCGTGCGCAGTTGCACATTCAAATTGAGCGAAAAAGCAACAACAGCGACAACAGCACTTACAAACCAAACACTGAGTGTAGAAAGTGCAATTTTTACACTACAACGTAGAAACGGAGATGAAACAATCCAGACCGAGAGCGATTCATAAAGATTATTCGTGGTATATTTGTGATGTCGTTGTTGTTGTAATGCCATTATTAAAAGCGTCGCTACGCCGCTTCCATGGATGGTAGTAATTCAGACCAAAATATATACACAGCGATTTCGATTCGTTTCGTTCTCTGATGTCGCGTTCGATGTTGTGTGCCGCCAGACATTTCAGTTATTAAACAACTGGTGCCGATAACGGACGCGTTTTCTTCTTCATTGTCTGACTGTTATCGTTCGATTCTTTCGTGTTTAAGCACACCGTACAGTTTATCGTTTATTTTTGAATTTTTCGAACGTTACGAATTCGATTTTGATGTTGGTCATGTTTTCCAATGGATTTCACATCAATCAAATTCAGTTTTCAGTGAATGGGATTGTTTTTCATTAGTGTGCACATAAAAAAAATGAATTAAAAAAATGTAATAAAGAAATTCACAGTTTTTTCTCATGATTGGAAACCAGTTGCGGATAAAACGGAAAAAAGTAATCGAAATTCGTTGAGATTGAGATTTTTCGGAATGGTACTGCATTCATTTCTAATCTCACATTGAAGAACTTATAAATGTTAAATAATCGATTTGAAGTACATTTGATCGCGAAACGATACGCAAACGAACCAAAAAAAAACGAACAGAACATAAAAAGGGTTTTAAATTCAGTTTGACTCAACAAAAATATTGTGTGCTACAGTTTGCGTTTGTATGTGTGTGTGTGTGTTTTTAACGAACCCCATCTGGCTGTGAAGGATCACTAAAATGAGATAAATTTTTAAAATTCCATCTCTTCGCCCGCTTCAATATACACAAAAAGGGTTCAAATGTTATATTGTGATCAGTGAGAAATATCAATTCTTGGCTTCAACGCATGCAATTCGATATTCCAGCAAAATTGGGGATAGACATATATGGAGAGAGAAAGAGGTAAAAAAAACAACAGTAACTCTCAACCAAAACATAATTTATGAATATTTTGTCTGTAACGGAATTTAACAAGAAAAAAAAACGAGACAAAAATAAAACAAATGGACAGAAGACATGGCTAAAATATAGCATTTGTTATGGTGTAATTGAATGGTGCGTTAGATTAGTGCAGAATATATATGATCTAAAATTGAATAGCGTACTGTATGTGCAATACAGTGTTTCATGTGGAATCTGCAATTTGAATCATCGTTGATATTTTTTTCTTCATTTTTCTTTGTTATTATACATCGTCCTTTCTGATTGATGTGTGTTCGCAAACTATTCCATGGTGTGTACCGTGCATGCATTATTTCATTGTTGTAGATATCATTCACTTATATACAGATATGTATAATCATTTTGCGATTGTGAAAACGTGCAACTTGGAATGTGTAACGATAAACGATTAAAGTATTAAAATGGTTTACATTGATTTGGTATATGTGTATGTGTAACGCCTGCATGCCGCTTGTTCCTTCGTTCACTTTGACATCCCTGTTCGTTGATTACATCCCGAGCATTCAGTGTCATTCTCGTAACGGATTGCATTTTATTTTTGTATTTTTCACAGGCGTTCAACCATTGAAAATACGTTCGATGGCATTGCATTAAATACAATTTTGATTGATATCATGAAATGCATTCTCTTTTATAAAATTCGATAAAATTAAAGGCAGCACACATGCACCGACATAGGCGCACATTGACATCGACCAAAATATATATAAATACAATACACACACACACCTATATATAGATAGATTCGATCGCAATTTTCGAATTACATTTCGAGCATTCAATGGCACGTTATCGTAAAACTGATTTATTGATTTATATCCCATTTTGAAAACAATTCATAACAAACGAAAATAAAATAGATTCAAATATCAATAAATATTATTATTGCGGCTATCTATCAATATACGGGATTGAATTTATATTTTTTTGTCGGCGCTATAAAATCGAGATGACTCAAATGCATCATGCTTGTATCTTCTCTCGTTAAATGGTAGACTGTTGGGTGTGTGTTTATGTTTGTTTGGGATTTTAAATGGATCCGACTTATGGGCTAGAGATAATCGACCATTTTTGTTTATTTATTTTTGGCTCTTTTCATTATTTGCCATCAACCACAATCACAAAAAAAATGGATTTGTACATGCATAGAGAAATAGATCGTTTGCCAACCACTCATAATATCTAGTGTCATAAGCTCCAATAGCAAATTATTGGATTAATTTGTAAGAATTGGGCATTCAATTAAATTGCATGCACTTCATGAAATTGTGAGTAGTTCGAATAAATTTAATATTAATCACATGCCGATACAAAAGAGTGCACAGCAAGCGAGAGAGATGAAGAAAAAGAAGAAAAGAAAACCGATCGAGTGATAGAGGAATAAAATCGCATAGAAAATTAGGTACTTATTGAAGCTATAGCCGACAGCATTACATATAGCAATCCGACATAGCTCTATCTTCACTTTTTTGCTCTTACTTTTTCTATTGCGTGCACATTTTCTGCTTGATTTCACGTACATTTTAACTCAATTTTCATTGACAAAAGCGTTCTCAATTCAATTTTTTTCTCCTTCGCTTCACTCCAACCCAAAGATATCTCTATTCATTATGTCGAGTTATAGTATGTTTGATGACTAGATGGGCACCAGATGAATAATGCTCTTCAGATTGGAAAATCTAATTACAGCTCATTAATAATCGTACATAAGTGAATTGATTTTTTTTTCATGTCGTTGCGAAAAATCTCCGAAATTAACATTCTTAGTGATGTCTCATTACATTAATAGGATGAATTTGAACAGTTGTCTGAATTGATGTGGGTTTTTTTTGTCGCTGTCGTTAACGCCACCGTTATCCTATTGAAGGAACGAAAATTGATAAAAAAAAGTGCTCGAGTAATGTATGTATTGTTCGACGTAAAAATATGGCGAAGCTTTTGTCAAAAAACACATTTCATGTTAAACCAAAAAAATTGTTTTTTTTTCCTCTCCGTCCATATCTCTGTCATTTGCTGTCTCACTTGACCAATCGATTGACAATTCTCCAATGCTCCCGTTTTAATTCCTCGGGTCACAGCTAATGGACAAAATAAATCGACGGAAATGAATGCAAATCACGATAAAATTGCATTCACAAATCGAGCATAAATATTTGCACACAAAAGCTCACATTTTAAAATAGCATAGTAGAAACAATGTATAAGATTAGCGATCAAAAATGTTAAAAACATTATTTTGCATTTTATCGTAGCTTGCAAAAGAGCATGAAAAACCCAACATTGTGCATGTGTTGTAATGTTCTATTTTTGATCGATAAAATTTGCTATATAAATAAATTTATGGAATCTTTTTGATTTTCCCATATTTTGAGAATGTTCGTAAATTTGGCAAATTTTATTGAGTTTTGTTGTTTGGTTAATTATAACATAATAAATAGTAAATAAATTATTTCAATGAGAAAAAAAAGGTGGAAAATGCAAAGAATATCAATAAATTCTAAATATAATCAACACACATAAATGTATTAGGCAATACGTAATTCAAAAGAACTTTTGGTTTATATTCGTGTTTATAATCATGATTTGACGACAAAATATACATGCACTGTTTCAGCAAACACGGCAGATGTAACTATTTTCACATTTGTTCTTTGCGTTGACAATTTGGATCAACGTGATTAGATTTCATTAAAACATTCGGCGTTTTCGGTTGGAATTAAATCCGATTAAACGACTTTTATCTTTGATTATGCACAGTAATACTGTGAAAATCAAAAATATACAGATAACCCGGACCATTCGTCCATATTGTGCGCATATTGTTGTAAAACGTCGAGAATAATTCATAGATTTCGATCAATAAAAATGAAGTGAATATTGTTCAACATGAAATGTTAAATAGTGCAGTATATCCTGCTGCATTCGTTCATTATAATACGATTAAAACTAATTGAATAACATTGTTCCATTCAATTATATGAGCCAATTCAATAGTATGCACAAACAAGACCAAGTATGAATAACAAATATTGCAAATTGGAATTTGAAATGAATGCACGCATCCTGCATCGACACACACACATAAAACACGGTCGATTTCTTTATCATCAACACATTTCATATTTGTAGCCATACACTTTGACCCGAGAATACGATTTAGCATTCGTTACACATAATTTTGATGTCGATTTGCCGTATTCTTATATTACTTTTTAACCGGGTTTTGTATGCACGAGCGTTGAAAATGTAAAAAAAAAGCTCAAAGTGGCTAAGAGAATGTATTAAACTGAAAAATACAGCACATATACATGTACACAAAGAGAGAAATAGCTTCAGTGATTTTGTTGACCAACTGCTTTCAATTGGATTGAAACGAGTCAAATTCAAAATGCCTGAAATTTCAAAAGCAATTAAGGCCGGACCTTATCGCCGAGCATGTTTGAATGGTGTATGCTGTCTAGCAGCAACAACAATTGTTATAAGTGTGTTTGTACGTTTGATAGAAAGCGAACGAGAGCTTTTCATTGGTTTTGTTGTCCAAAGAAATGGAAACATTAAACAAATAAAACCAAATGTTAACACAGAATCAACAAATTAGACTTTTTGATGTGAATTTTCGATGAAAATGTTTTGTTATACGGTGTTGAGAGTGGCTTAAGTTTCTTGATTATAGAAGAATGGATAGAAATGTGATGAGTTTTGGTTTTGGTTTGCTTACATAGAACTAGTACAATGGCAAATCGGCAACCACTACGGAAAAAACCTTAAAATGGAATATCGCATAAAACGAAACGATGTTCGGCCAGCTCATTTAATTTTTTTTTTTTTTGTACAACTCATTTTATATGGAAATATGATGAAATTTCAAGTGCGTCAATAATCCTTAACTCGTTTGTAAAGAACACCATTTCCGTAATGCTTCTTTTCGTATTCCAATTCTTCTTAATTATATTTGACTTCTTCTTTAATTCGATTCCGCGGCGATAAATGTGAATTTAAATCCATTCGAAAAGTGTTCACCTCATACAAATGGATCAAATGTTTGACGCCATAAGAAGAAATATTATATGCTGTCGTCGACGTTGTTGTTGTCATCAGTTGCAGTTGCTGTTGCATTTATGCATATATTTTCAAGCATTTTGCATGTGCAATACTTGATAAACTGCTAAAAATTCTCTGTTTACGTTTGTGTTCGTTTGTTTGTTTGTTTATTTTGTTCCGTTGAATTTGCAATGCAACGTTGCATAACGAATAAGTTTGTGGATAAAAATGCCTGCGAATATAATAGGCGGTTATTTTCCCAGTGACAAGTCACGTTTCAATATGACCAGTTAACTTTTAGTTTATACAGCCACTGCTGTCGCCATCATCACTGCTGAATTTTTTTCGCTTTTTATTCGATAATTTCATCTTAATCGTCACAAACATTAAACAATTTAAAAATTGAATGAATTCAAATTTACTTATTTGCGATTACTGACTGTAGTTGCTAAACATCAGATATATTTAGATATTTTCAGCCAGCTGAATCAGTTCCGATAGTTAACGTCAGGTGCTAAAATATAGTGAAAACAATAGAAGTGATTGTTGTGGTTATAAAAACACTTCTAATATTTTCACTTAATTTCAGCGCCTGACGTGAACTCCTTGAGCTGATTCAGCTGGCTGAAAATATCTTAATATAATGTCTGTTAAACATTATTATTAAACAAAAAATAAATAAATCAAATATATTTTGTCGATCATTTCGAAACAGTTTTCTCAATCAAAATTGCAATGTAAACTCGTTTTTGAATGGCAGAGATGAAGTTTTTATCATGACGAACCATTTGATATGCGCAATTCAATGGCATTGCAACCCAACCAATATAGGGAAAAAAGTGCACAATAAAATGAAATGCGGACAAAAAAGCTCTAGCAATGCCAATACGTTTATCATA